GCTCACAGCAACCTCCAACTCCTGGGCTCAAGCGATCCTCCTGCCTCAGCCTCCCGAGTAGCTGGGACTACAGGCATGCACCACCATGCCCGGCTAATTTTTTCTATATATTTTTAGTTGGCCAATTAATTTCTATTTATAATAGAGACAGGGTCTCACTCTTGCTCAGGCTGGTCTCGAACTCCTGACCTTGAGCGATCCTCCTGCCTCGGCCTCCCAGAGTGCTAAGATTACAGGCATGAGTCATCACTCCCAGCCAACGTTGTCTTTAGAAGTGCTAATTCCTTCTGCCATGTAATGACTTTTATTTCCAAGGTTGTACAGCTTACATTCCCTCTGTCCTAATGGAAAAAAAAATCTCAGGAATGGGGAGATGAATGCCATACATCATTAATTTTTTTTTCAGTAATACTATTTTATAAATCTTCGATTATTTTTAGAAATGAACATGTTTCCTTAAAATAGATACCTAAAACCATGGATACATGGATCCGTGGTTAGCATTCCATCACCACGATAATTTTAAAGCAAAAAGTTTGCCCTGTTTTGCATGTTTACTTAGAGGTGATAAAAGGCCTTCTTTTTGTGTGCTTTTCCTCGCAGACAATTCAAAGAAAGTTTGCAGAGATAACCAACGAGGCCGTTAGCTTTCTCGGTGACAGTCTGCAACGCATCGGCACCAAATTTAAGAGTTCCTTGGAGGTGATGATGATGTGCTTGGAATGCCCCACAGTCTTCGTGGACGCTGAAACAGTAAGTCTTTCTGTTTTTGCTTCTTAGTTTTCAGTAGATTTAGGGGCACACGTGGCTTTGGGCTACACGGGTGAATTGTGTACCGGTGACATCTGTGTTTTCAGTGTACCTTCGACCCACAGGGTATATATTGCACCCAGCAGGTGGCTTTTCTTCCCTAACCCTCCTCCCCCCCTGCCCCTCCTGGGTGTCTAATGTCACCCCGAGTGCCCCTGCGTGCCCATAGCACAGCTCCTGGTTAAAGTGGGAACATGCATTATCTGTGAAACAGCAAGTTTTTACATGCAAGTTTGTTACAAGGGCTCTCTTTGAATGGCATCTTTTCAAAAAAAAGGGGTCTTTATTTATTTTTATTTATTTATTTATTTTTTTTTCACTTCAGTGGTTTCCCAGTTTAAAGATTTATTATTTTAATTTGTAATATCTAATAAAATGAATAAAAATAGTATAAACTTACCATAAATCATGTTGACATATTATATAGAGGGCTTGATATGGAATGGATAAATACAAAAGAAAGTGAGGCCGGCGCTGTGGCTCACGCCTGTATCCGTAGCTTTGGGAGGCGAGGCGGGCGGATTGTCAATCAGGAAGTTCAAACAGCATGAGACAAGAGCGGACCCCGTCTCTACTATAAATAGAAGAAAATTAATTGCCAACTGTATATATATTAAAAAAAATTGCGGGCTGGTGCGCATTGCTGTAGTCCAGCCAACTCGGGAGGCTGAGGCGAGAGGATGCTTGGCCCAGGAGTTGGAGTGTTGCTTGAGCGAGGCTGACGCCCGGCACTCACGTCTAGCCTGGACAACAAAGCCGAGACTCTGTCTCAAAAAAAAAAAAAAAAAGAAGTAGACTAATATTTGGGGGTGTTGGCGTAAAAAAACCTAAATGTTCCCAAATCTTTAATTCTGGGGCCAAAATTGCTATTATTTTATTTTTATATTTATCAATATTTTATATTTTTTTAATTTATTATTTGGGAGTAAATATTTTAGGTTACAATAAATGCCTTTTCCTCCTCTCCCCCACAAGTCTGAAGTCTCCAGCATGGACCATCCCAAATGGTCACATCTCACTCATTAATGTATGTCTATGCCCCGGCCCCGCCCTGCCCAATACCCTATTACTGTAGACGAAGTGTCTTTTTTAAAAGTATTCAGACTAGCCTCTGGGAGGCCGAGCAGGAGGATCGATCGAGTCCAGGGTTCGAGACCAGCCTGACAGAGCGAGACCCCGCTCTACTAGAAATAGAAAGATTAATTGGGCCAACTAAAAATATATATAGAAAAATGACCAGGTTGGTGGGGCATGCCTGTGGTTCCCAGCTTTCGGAGGGCTGAGGCAGGAGGATCGCTTGAGCCAGGAGGTTGAGTTGACACCATGGCATCTAAGCAAGGCAGAGGTGGAGCCGATCAAAAAAAAAAAAAACCAAAAGGTAAATTCAGATTTTTAAAAGGTGAAAGGGCCTTATTAGCAGTTGATGATAATATGGGCACACTACAATTCCAGTACCTTAGCTGCAGCGCCTTGTGGCTATTTCTAATTCTGACCCCTCCTGTCCCCCCTCCACGGAGTACTAGATGGGGTGCTAGAGAGTCGTGCTGTAGAGATAGCATTCTTTCCCGATTGAAATGGGTAGGACGCGGCTAGACCTTCTCCCATGAAGTCCCAAGAACCTGCTGGTCTTCCCCTGACTTATTTCCAAGAATACTTCTAGATCATATTGTAAGATATTTAGGCCGGGCACGGTGGCTCACGCCTGTCATCCTAGCACTCTGGGAGCCCAGACGGAGGATCGCTCGAGGTTCAGGAGTTCCGAAAGCCAGCCTGGGCAGAGAGGAGACCCCGTCTCTACTAAAAATAGAAAGAAAACTAATTGGCCAACTAAAATATATAGAAAAAAATGAGCCGGGCAGGTGGCGAATGCCTGTAGTCCAGCTACTCGGGGGACTGAGGCAGGAGTATCGCTTGAGCAGGATTGAGGTTGCTGTGCAGTGAGCTGACACCACAGCACGCTAGCCAGGCAAACGAAGTGAGATCTGTCTCAAAAGAAAAAGATATTTAAAGACCTATGGTCTAAGAAACTCTAAGGGTGATATCTAGCGGTCTGGGTGCCATTTCTTGCCTTGGCCACCTTTTGAAAGCATTTAAAGGTCCGCCTGTCCCTGTCAGCCCTCAAATCCCACTGCACTTCTGTTTCCACGAAGGGTCAGCCCTTAGCATGGGACAGAGTGTAGCACAGGAACACCGAAAACCAGAAATGCCGTGGCCCAAACGCTGTGTGTCTGGGGACTGTGATCAGAAATGGTAACCCGAGTCGATGTGCGTTTCTGATTTGACAGCTCATGTCATGCGGGCTGCTGGAGACTCTCAAGTTCGGTGTTCTGGAATTGCAGGAACACCTGGATACCTACAACGCCAGAAAAGAAGCAGCGGAGCAGGTCAGTCTGTTGTCACCATGAGAGAAAAGCGGTTTGTTTGCTCCTGTGCTGGCCTGGCCACACTGCAGCCCGGACCAGAAAGAGCACTCAGCACTCGCCTCCGGGTTTTTCTGAGAGCTGCACGTCCTTCTGAGCTCTCTGTCCAGTGAATGCCTAGCTTTGGCTTTTAGAAACCTGCCTCGGGCCAGGCGCCAGGCTCACGCCTGTTAATCCTAGCATCTGGAGGCCGAGGCGGGAGGATGGCCTCGAGGTCAGGAGTTCGAATCCAGCCTGAGCAAGAGCCAGACCCTGTCTCTACTAAAAATAGAAAGAATTAATTGGCAACTAAAAATATAGAACAAAAATTGCCGGCGTGGTGGCGCATGCCTGTAGTCCAGCTGCTCGGGGCTGAGGCAGGAGATCGCTTGAGCAGGAGTTTGAGGCTGCTGTGAGCGAGGCTGACGCCACGGCACTCACTTCTGACCTGGGCAACAAGTGGAGACTCGTCTCAAAAAATAATTTTTTTTTATTAGTAAGACTCAGCCTTATATAATCAACTGAAATTATTCTTTTCAAATTTCTTAGTATACTTGGATAAACTGGATCTGATTCGTGATGATAATTGAGTGTTAAAGACATTGTAATGTTTTGTATGCAGAAAGACAGACGTACAAATTCCATGGTAGATGTCAACTGAATTTTACCCATACAAAGAAATCTGCTGATGGCTTTTGACAGTGGCTGCCATTGGTCGCATCTCCCTAGAAAAGCTTAACATGTTTTTTTTCAGAGTCGCTGTCAAACACATAGCCCAGGGGCCAGTGAAATCTGAGGGACTGGAATAAAAGGAACAAAGGTCAAAGAGATTGTTTTTGAAATAACTGAGGTGTCTAATTTTAATTCTTTGCGTGCAGAACATAAGCTACAGTGGAGAATTTTAAATGTCAAATACTAAAATATTTGTCAGAGTAGCTACTTCCTGTAGCCATTCCGTTTTTGTCAAGGTCCTAATAATTTATTTTATATATATCAGCTTATGTTTAATAATATCACCACAGAAAAGAACTAGGAAGTCAAAACAACTGATGATATCCAACTATCAAAACCTAGACATGACTAATATATAAGTTGATATTATAGTAGCAAAAACAAACAAAAAAATGTGATCCATCCTGTATTTTGATTGTTGCTTTAATAAAGGGTTTGCACAGGTAAAAAAAAAAAAAACAAAAAAAAAAAACCCTAGACACTTAACTGAAGGTTCTTAAGGCTTTTACTTCAGCTTGGAAATTCTTTGACTCCAGTGTTCTTTTCTACTATACCATAATGCTGTTATTTTTATTTGACTGGAAAAAAATGTACCTTAACATCAACTTTAGGAATAGCCCCTGAATAAAGAAAAACCACACTCAGCTTCCATATCCAGTATTCTTTGGCGATAACATTTGCCATTCATTTCTGTCCAAAAAAGCAAGCAAGCAAAAAAAGAAAGAAAAACAAGGTTTAAAATGGATCCTGTCTCACTAACGAAAGCTGACAGCAGTCTTCTGAGAATTACACTCTGATAAGCAAACAGACCTGGTTCATTCTAAGTTGCCTTTTATTAAATTGACCAGAAGGAGCAGCACATCTTCCAATAACCCATCTTACATTACATAAAGGTCAGGTGTGGATTATAAAGATTTCCACCAAATCTGCAAAATGAAGAATATTCTTAACAGAAACAGAGCACCACGGTTTCCTATAACAGAAGACGATTTATTGCGTTTTTGTGAAATTGTCACAAGTCTGTGCATTCTGTTGTTATGCTGATAGTACCCTTCTTTTGTTTGTTCCATATAAATGGTGAGGCTTAAATGGAGAGGAAGGTCTATGCCTAGAACCAATCCTAGAACTTCACGTTAAACTCTGTTGTTTTGTATGGACTGGCTTTTAGTTATATTGCCAATTTCCTTGTGCATCATAGAGTTACTGTATTAAAATTTACTGTTGCTTATTTTTAGTGGCTAGACAATTGCAAGAGGACATTTGGTGCCAAAGAAGACATGTACAGGATCAACACAGATGCACAAGTAAGTCCCTAATTCTTGTGTTTGCTCTATTTCTATCTTAGGTAAAACAACGTACATGCCCATGGTCAAATGCCTTTATTTGCTCTTTTCTAAAAATACACACCACTTTTCATTTTGGGTATCAGAACCATCTTTGTAAAAGTTAGGTTCAATGAAATATTGGCTTAGTAATGAAAAATTCACTTTAATAAAAGTGCACGGCCAGCTTGTGGCTGAAGCTTTAATAACATTCGGTAGATAAGCCTGATTCTATCCCGCACAGCATTGATAATTCTGCAGATGGTTTGTCTAGTCGGGAAAGCAAACCTAAGAGTCAGGTGATAGAAATCCATAGGAGCCTTTCTGAAAGTGAAATTCTGATCGGATAAATCATAATGTTTCCCGCTGTTACAAAGTTTGGTGAAAATTATAGCCACATAATTTCTCAGGAAAAGGTGCACATACATAACACATACATTTGTAGTGAGGATAAATTAGGACTAGATCATTCTAGACCATTCTGGATCTAGAATCAGATCATTCTAGATTATTCCTATGGGGAAAATGTATTCATCGACTAAAATGTATCTCCATTTTATGTAAGAATTCCAGTCTTTCTCAACTTCAGTTACATTATTACAGATTTCTAGAGTCTCTAAAAGTTATAATAAAAATCTAAGATTTTGAAAAAAAACTGCAATGTTGAGAAAATAATAGTATACTCAATAAATGCTAACTATTTACCAGGCACGGTGCTAATAAGCATTTCACATTCATTATCTCTGTCTTTACAACTCAGTCAATTAGATGCTTTAACTATCAGCATTTTGAAGGTGAGGAAACTGAGGCTCAGAGAAGCTGATTTATCTAGAATCAGTAAGTAAATAATAGAACCAAGATACAGACCCAGGCAGGCTGACTCCAAATCCTGCACCATGTTAGAAACTCTGAGAGATCATCCCTGTAAGAAATGAATCAAGATAAGGAATTTAACCAAAACAGAATAGGATCCTTTCGTTCTGTTTCTGTCTTTGCCACTGTTTAACTGTATCAATCAAGTAAGTAATGTAACCTTTTTTCCTGTATAAACTAAGTGGTTACACTAAGTGATATTTTATATCCCTTCTACCCTGGAGAAATGAGATCCAGCTCCAAGACTCTAAGTCAGTTAACATAGCTTGAGGTTTTCTACTAAGTGAAAACTGTGAGGACTTCCATTTATTTCTTAGCTCACCTTTCATACTCAGCTTTTTGAGGGTGGGAGACCCTTTTTACACAACTTTACTATCTGTCCTTGTGTGCTAGTATAGACTTTTGCATAATAAGCAGTCAACAAGCATTTAGTGGATGAATAGATGAAAAGAGAATGTGCATATTTTAATATACGTAAAAAGCAACCATCTAAAATGTGCATATGTATGGTCATCCTCAGAAACGATGCTATTAGCATACTTGGAGCGATTTCTGGTAATTTAGAGCTATGGGAATTATATTTGTGTTATTTCCTATAATTATGACCATAAACTTTATCAGTGATTTATTTCCTCTTCTATCTCAAAGTGCATGCTGTGCATAGATGCATGTCAGTTCTCCCTTTATTTATGAAACTCAAATCGTTCATTTTCCTATGAAATCAACTGTATAAAATAAAACCTCAGACATTTAGATATGCTAATATGCTTGACACTGGGCTGTACCCAGCCAGTGTTTACCAAATTATGATCCACGGAATTTATGGTAAGCAGCATCGAGCTAAAGTTCACCTTTGCTTATTTAGCAAATCCCTTCTATATTGATAGGAATAAATGTTATATCAATAGCCCCTCAGGAAAGTATTTAGAAAAGCAGGCTTTTAAGAATGACTTTTAGAAGCTACATTTGCATTATAACAATTGCAGCTTCAATTAGAAGTCATTCTTCTGTTAATGAGAACCAGGTCCCAAGTGGCTGTAGATATTAATAGAATTTTTAAGGTAGTCCATAAGGTAGACTTTTCACTGTGTGGTTTTATGCACACTATCTCCTTGGATTCAGACCTAGTTGGGTTACATTTCTGAAACTGAATTACATTTGGAATGCGGTTTAGAACACACATCTGCTTCCAACATTCTGCCCTGTGGCTCGGCATCCTATCTGGCAAGCTAGGACCTAATTAGGCAATAAAAGGTAGGCGGCTTAGAACAAGCCACACTGAAAATAATCCTCAAAAGCATATTTATTATGTAAGGTTATAAGCCAGTTTTTTCTGGGATGTAATGGCAATTCATTTGTTCCTTATTTTAATTTTTTATATTTTTTTACATTGTGAAAGTATTTTATTAAATAGTATTTTAAATATATATTTTATTTTTATTTCAGACCATTGAAGGAGTGTTCCTTATTTTCTAATCATAAGTTTTCTACTTTACTAATAGAAATTTTATTACATTTGGTTTTTTTTTTAACCTAGATAGAACACATTATTTCAATTTTATTCTTTGTAGCTTTTATACAGAAATAAAGGATTGTCAAATAATAAATTACACTTAGGCTAAGAGTTCAAAAACAAATTGTTGCAGTAAATGTCTTAAGTTTTATTCTGGTAATAACATTTTCTTTGGGGTATAAATATGTTCTTCAGTTTGCCTGGGACGTCTGTGGCCCTAGCGAAAATGATTTCTTACACTAATTCTTGGTCTTTTTCTTCCTTTGTATTTTTTTTTTGTGACCTGATCACCTTCTTGCTTAGCAAATGGAAATTCTAGCAGTAAGTGACCTGTCTTGATTTACAGACTACTCACCCTCGCCAGACACCCTGGTCTTCATCTGCCATTTGTGCCTTCGTGCCCTAGCAGTGTTCTGTCATGGACTACTTTAAAAGTAGCGTGTGCTTCGGTTTTGTGTGGCCCTAATCCATGAAACGTTGGTTCTATGAAAATGAGATTTTATAATATGTACAACAACTAGCAGTCGCCTTTTTCTACATCCATCACTAACATATCTCCTTTTAAATTTAATTTAAAAAAAAAAAAATCAGAGTGCACATGTAAATTCCATGGGTCTCATTTCAATGAGATTACCAAGTGGTTTTTCTTGAGAAAAATGACTTCATTTTAAAAGAGAAACTCTTTCTTCTTAGGTAAGAGGTTACCCAGTTTCACTTTGCATTATCAATCAAGCATTTTTGTTGCTAAATGCAATGAGATCTCCATCTCCTTGTTAAAGTTTTAAATTATACCGAATCCCTTTTAAAACATCCTCTTTCTTGCCTACTGAAACATTCTATTTGTTGAATACGAAAATGTGCTTAACACTAAAAAATTCCATAACCAACAGTGATCTTTGTTTTTAATCTGTCTTCAAACTGTCTTCAAAGCAACTTTCATCTACTATTCATCAGCTTCACACCATATTAACTTGCTTACTTCAGAAAAAAAAAATGCCAAGACAATTTTAACAATTATAAATTTTTATTGTAAATATGCTGTGTGGTCAAATGTCATGGGAAATACCACCTAAATTTAATGAAATGTTATTTGTTTCTAGGAGCTGGAACTCTGCCGAAGGCTATACAAATTACATTTTCAATTGCTGCTTTTGTTCCAGGCCTACTGTAAACTTATCAACCAAGTAAATACAATAAAAAATGAACCAGAGGTAAATATGCTAGGAAGTTTTAAAACGCACATCTGTATGTTCCTTGTTAGAATAGCTTAAGTGTTTTGATCACAGGTAATAGCATAGAAGAAAAAAAAATAAAAATAGCTTTAGTGAACTCACTTATGATAAGTCTTTTTTAGTTGAGGAATATGTTTTTGAAGTGATATTTGCTAATAGGTCTTGACATGGCATAAGGCAGATATATCCAGCAGTCCTAAAAGGTTCGAGACCATAATTTTTTTAAATGGCTAAATCTGTTTTTTTAAAGAAATACATTTATATAAAATACCCTGGGCAAATCTTTTAACGTATAGTCAAAAAAAGGTTTTCGTGATGCCCTATGACAATATGTTTTTACTACCCAAAAATGTAATAATGCTAAAACCAATATATATATTTATTTCAACTTACTGTGTTATCAAGAATATTTGAAGATTATTATTGGGTAGAATTTATTTACTCCTGCAGAATGGAGAACTTGAAATATTAACTGCCTTCTACATGTTAACACTTTCAAATAACCTTTAAGAGACAAAATGCTGCCATCAGGGCATCTTTTCAAAGCCAATTAAATTTTTTTTTTTTTTTAAACCAACTACGAAGAGATCCTTAAAAGGTGTGTGTGTTTTAGGTCATCAACATGTCGGAAGAACTGGCCCAGTTGGAAAGTATCCTCAAAGAAGCCGAGGCTGCCTCAGAAAATGAAGAAATCGACATTTCCAAAGCTGCACCAACTTACTATAAAGGAAACCCTTCCATTCCATTCCTTAATTGAAACTTTGAAGAACAAGGAATTTATATCAGCGGTAGCACAAGTCAAAGCTTTCAGGTAAAATGAGAAAGGATTTAAAGAGAATGCCTTTAAAACTAGAAGTTTAATAGTAGGCTTTGGTCTTCTTTTTCCTTTTTTTTTTTTTTTTTTGAGACAGTGTCTCACTCTGTCACCCAGTAGAGTGCCTGTGGCGTCAGCCTAGCTCACAGCAACCTCCAAACTTCTGGACTCAAGCGATCCTCCTGCCTCAGCCTCCTGAGTAGCTGGGACTACAGGCATGCACCACCATGCCTGGCTCATTTTTTTCAATTTTTAGATGTTTTGGTAATTCTATTTATAGTAGAGGGGGGGTCTTGCTCCTACTCAGGCTGGTCTCGAACTCATGAGCCCAAGCGATCCTCCCACCTTGGCCTCCCAGAGTGCTAGGGTTACAAGCATGAGCCACCCCACGGCCAACCTAGGCTTTGGTTTTCAATTTGATGTTTTCAGTACGTTTTTTGTGAAAGGAAAGCATTTTTAACAGTTACCACTAAGGCCAGGCGCAGTGGCTCATGCCTGTAATCCTAGCACTCTGGGAGGCCGAGGTGGGCAGATTGCTCAAGGTCAGAAGTTCGAAACCAGCCTGAGCAAGAGCAAGACCCTGTCTCTACTAATTAGAAAAAAAATTAATTGGCCAACAAATATATATATAGAAAAAATGAGCCGGGCACGGTGGTACATGCCTGTAGTCCCAGCTACTCCAGGACTGAGGTAGGAGGATCGCTTGAGCCCCCAGGAGTTGGAGGTCACTGTGACCCAGACTGACACCACAGCATTCACTCTAGCCTGGGCAACCGAGTGAGACTCTGTCTCAAACAAAAAAAAAAAAAAGACAGTTACTCCTGAAATGATACCAATTTTAGATTATCAAAGTACCAGCTGAATATGAAAAATGTATTTATATATTAAGTGTATAAACATCAGTTATTCACGAGGAAATTGTTTTTGTTTTACATGCTAAGTTGACTTAATCTCGACTGATAATTGCTTAAGTCTTGGAACTTAAAAACCATTGTGTGTTTTCAGAGCTCTGTGGCCCAGTGATATCTTCGGCAGTTACGAAGATGACCCAGTGCAGACGCTGTTGCACATATACTTCCATCACCAGACGCTGGGCCAGACCGGGAGCTTTGCAGTCGTGGGCTCCAACCTGGACATGTCAGAAGCCAACTACAAACTGATGGAACTTAATCTAGAAATCAGAGAGTCTCTACGCCTGGTGCAATCATACCAGCTTCTAGCGCAGGCCAAGCCCATTGGAAACATGGTGAGCACTGGATTCTGAGAGACTCCAGGCATTTAGGAAAAGAAACACAACTGAAGATGATTCCCAAACATTAACCAAGCACCTTTTACGAACCCTTGCGATTCACTGACAGCTTTCTGGCAGCATTTACAAGAAGCGAGTCACTAACGTCAAACTGTAACACAACAAAGATCTGAAGAAGAAGAAAAAAAAAAATCTAATTGTTTAACAGCTGCCAATACCTCCCACAATAACTGTATGAGGAAGGACTTTTTAAATTGCTTAACCTTATGTGAAAAGAAAAGGGCTAAAAGTGATGCATACACAGACACAGTGCTTTCTGGAGAAAGATAAAGGAGTCCAGGAAATGTTTGCAATAATGGCCCCCCCTCGTGCTGGGACCTCCAAGAACAGGTGCAGTGAGGCTGAAAAAAAATCAAGGCTGGTTCGTTTTAGCCGGAGACCTGCGACAGCTGCTTGGATGTCCAGCCAGGCGTAGCATGATCTAGAACTGTTGAAGATATGCTTGGTCATATCTACACGAACATCCAAGGCAGACGGACACCTGAAAACTTATTTGCAAAAACCATTGATTTTTTTTTTTCCCCCACTCTGTGGGATAAGGGGCTGGGGGTGTTTTTGTTCTGTTTGTTGGTCTGTATAAGGAATTATGCGTGAGTGAGTTGGGAGTGTGTGGGTAATGTGACAGTCCTATTTTTAAAGGTATGGATGTTTGCTGATGACGTCTCAGAGCATGCCTCAAAAGAGCACTGCAAGATTATTTTTGAAGAAATTTTTATTTTATTAGATCTAACTCTTCATAGTGTTGTAAATGTTAGGACATTTTAATAATATTTTAAAGACTGGGCTTCCCCAGTGTTTGGAAGAGAAATAATATATCTGTTAACGTTATTAATGCTGCTCAGTTCTGAGCGGTGCTTACATGTTCCACCTGTTGATAACTAACCAAAGTAGTTAAGCCTGCAGAGACTTTAAAAATGTAAAAATAAAGATGTGTGCTGCCCTGGTCAGCTATTCTTCCTTAGAAAAGTTAACTTATTTTACTCCATAATTATTCTAGAAACTGTATAGACTAAAACCAGTATTTTCTTGTACATTCGTGCCATGCACTGTTAGAAGAGGTGTACAAAGCTAAAAAAAAAAAAAAAATGTGGTCATTGGCTGGTAGAATATATGACTTGCAGGCTTTGAAGTCTGCAGGAAAGAGATGCAATTCTTATGTTTATTCAGGGCTCACCTGTTTCCCCGCTCAAGGAATCTGGGAAACGAAAGGAAGCCTGAAGACTGACTACCAAAACATGCAATATACTTATTTTCACTAAGTCTGTAGCATACCATGAACTGGGAGCCTCTGGCCTTTTTTAAAATAGCATTTTGTAAAAAAAAAAAAAAAAAAAAAAAGAAAAAACAAGAAAAAAATAGTAGTCCCACCAACTCCTCTGATTTGAAAGGAACACCTTGTAACTTTTTATATGCATCTCTTCTTATGCACTGTGACTTTTCTTTTTCAACTGGGCTCGGTGATTCCAGAGTTTAGAATGTAGAAATGAAATGCTTAAGCTTTGCCTTTTCTTGGGTGTGTGGACTGTGCCAGAAGTGTAATGATGGATGCCCAAGTGCATTAATTGCATTCATGGAAGGCACTGTGCCCGCCCTTGCTGACCACAGTTATGTTTCCTATAAAATTCCATAACTGGTCACAGCTCATTCATAATCACTGTATTTTTTTGACCCTGATATAAAAAAAAAAAAAAAAAAGATTTTGATGGTGTCCTGGTACTGTAAATGGTGTCCTTTAAATTATTTAATAACTTTTGGGTGTTGGGCAGGCAGAGAGGAATGGTGTCCAGACATACCCTGCACTCCACACTTGCTCCCCCTCCTAACATTTTTGTTAAAAATAAAAAGCATTGTAGCTGGTGGTTCGTGTTGTATTTTTAAAAACAATGTTCATGAATGTGCTTTACTTAGAAACTTTCAAATATTACCTTCATTCTTCTTAAATATAATTTGCCTTAAAAAGGAAACAAATTTGGGTAGTCACCCAAACCAAACCTTTTTGAACAGTGGAAATTTGATTTTTGTATTTATGTGTAAAAGTTCTATTAATGATGTAATTAAAAAACAGATGTACCTGTAGAAAGCAAGATGCAAACCTAAACTCATTAGGATTGGCCTTTTGCAATTGCATTTTCCTCAAACCTATGCTTCTTTGCCCATTTATTATCTGAATGCAAAGTTTACATTTATTAACAAAATATATCAAATGCTTAGCTTACTACCTTTAAGTTCCACTTAACAGCCCAGTTTTTGCTACATCAATCTTTTTACCCACTAAATTTATCACTTATTCAATAGTAAGTGATAAATTTTTTTTACCCACTAAATTTATCACTTACTAAATAGTAAGTTTGTAAAATAAGAGATATGGCCTTTTCTTCCTGCTGCTTCTAAAATAGCAAGCCAGAGGATTTTTATGCGACTTAGAAAATATTTTCTACTCGTAATGATGTAAAATGAGGGGTGTGGTATAACCCACAACCTACCTTAACCTTAGGAAATCATTACACGTTGTCTTGGAAAAGACCAAAGCCAGAAAATACGGTTCCCTCATTTATGCCTATGATTGAAGACTGCTCATCGGCATAAACTAAATGCAAGGAAATAAAATATTAGAATCAATATAATCGTGTTCTATATAGCATTCCTTCTTTTCTAATTTTTCAAAGGAATCCATGATCAAATTTAGGAAATACAGAGGAAAAACCACAATCAACATCTCTGACACCCAGAGATAACGTGAAGTATTTCCTTGTAGCTTCTCCCAATCTTACTATCTACACACATTCTGTAAGTTTTGGATTGCACGTGGAAGAGTTTGGCGGTGCCTCATTTGCTAGAAGGTCATTTCTAACTCTTAGGACAGCAAGATGTTTTTCTGCCACTTTGTTCAGTACCTGAATGTGCACCAACCTTTAGTAAAACAGTTTGGTCCTTGCTTTCCCCAACTATAAAAGGGTTATTAGCTTTAGGCAAAATATCCATGTGCAAAAAAAAAAAAAAATAGAATAGAAATTTTAAAAAAAGAAGGGGTTACCTGCTATGTTAGGAAAATTAATGGCAAACAATATTAAGTTTAAAGAATGACTTAACCGTGTTAATTAACCAGTGAACTCTTGTCTTAGGACTCATTACGGATACATTTCTATAGTTCATTTACCGGAGCAAATGCTACAGAGCACATATTGAGTACCACCTGCATACCATAGGCATCAAATGAGTTTCCTATTACCGTACCCACCCAAGCAAATGCTACGGAGCATGTGTTGAGTGCCACGTGCATGCCATAGGCGTCAAATGAGTTCCTTATTACTGTACCAAGTCAATATGTCAGCACAAGTTAAAAACTGCATTGCCTTTACAAGCACGTAGAGAGCTCCTGTTTTCCCTTGGCCTGCCACCACCCTCTGGTCCCTACAAGCCTCCATGTCTATAGCCAGAGTGATTAATATTTTTAAAGGCGATTTCCATTTGTCACCATGCCCCACACCTTTAAACCCTTTTATTCTCACTAATGTTGATTCTTCACAAAGGCAAAAAAAAAAAAAACAAAAAAAACACCTTTCAGCATAGCTGCATGTACTGCCAGTTGGAGGCTGAGGCCAGGGGTTCGAGGCTGCAGTGCGCTATTAATCAGCAAACACACCCTGTGACTAGCCACTGTCCTCCAGCCTGGGCCACTCTGTAGCAAGACCCTGTCTCTAACATAAAAACACAAAACCTTGCGGTGGATTCTTGCAGCTGACTAAAGACCAAGCCCAAGCAAAGCCTAGAAAGTCCTCCCAGTCTGGCCCTGTTGGTTTCACCTGGCATCATGTCTCCAGAATATTCTGCCACAGTGACCTCCCTGTGCACCTGGCGTTGTCTTATTCCAGGAAAATTTCTCCTTCCCCTTTTTGCTTGACACATTGACTACCATGCTAGAAAAAATTTCTTTTGCCCTGGGACCACCGTGTTTTATTAAAACAGGATCCTTTCTAATTTGTTACTGTTTTCTGTTTGTGAGTTACATGCAGCAAAATCCACATGTTTATATAGAATCGTCAATATTAATAAGAACATCAGGATTGTCACGAACCAACCTGCAGGGTCTTGCTTCACGCAGCCCCGGGTGCAAAACTAGCCTGAGTTAAATACAACTCACGTGGCAGTCAAGGTGCTAATTCAACTTATGCAAACTTGAGCTCAGCTGAAGTGGCATTCTTTCAAGTTAGGCCTTCCCTGACTGCCCTTAGTCAAATCCCCCGTTTACTCCACTGAAGTAGGTCTTCCATCTCACATGCCAGAACTTCCATCCTCCATTTCTTAGGTAAAGATAAATAAGTTGGCCTTCTACCTGCTAGACCGGACACACCCTCCATAATGGCAGAGACCAGCCCACGTTTAACAAGGCTGGCTGAAGCAGCGTCTGAAATGTTGCATTTGGGACGGAGCCTTGCAATCTGTTTTTACCAGCACCTTCTAGATCCACCTGGATGCAGGTGGGGCCTTCCCCCTTTGATAGGAGTCTAGGGGGGGCCCCAAACGCACTGTCAAAGCCCTTTGAACCCCTTTGCTTGACCCCACACCTGAGGCTCCAAGCTGTTGAGAGACTTCTTTGGCCCTTCTGAGCTAGTAAGGGTTAACTTAAATGGGAGGTTAGAAAAATTGGAGGCATCATTAGCACCTGGTTCTAATCTTGGTTTCTGCAGTCATTAAACCCATAGCTATAATCCTAGCACTCTGCGAGGCCGAGGCGGGAGAACTGCTCAAGGTCAGGAGTTCGAGACCAGCCTGAGCAAGAGTGAGACCCCCCATCCCTACCAGAAATAGTTAATTGGACAGCTAAAAGTATACAGAAAAAATTAGCAGGGCATGGTGGTGCATGCTTGTATAGTCCAAGCTACTCGGGAGGCTGAGGCAGGAGGATGGCTTGAGCCCAGGAGTTGGACGTTGCTGTGAGCTAGGCTGACGCCACGGCACTCACTCTAGCCTGGGCAACAGACTGAGACTGTCTCAAAAAATAAATAAATAAATAAATAATAATAAACTCATAGCCAGGCAACTCCGATTTCATTAGAAGCACCTGGGGCTCAATTCAGTGCGATCCTCAGCCAAGAGTCTGGCCATAGAACTTCAGTGTCCTAGTGGAGGCAGAATGAGAATCTAAGTACAGGCCAGACTAAATAGAAGTCAGTAAAGATAGAGCCTAAAGCCTATGTCTAACTTGAAGTCTATAAATATAGAGGCCTACTTGCTAAAGCTTTGTTTCTGAACATGTTACCACCTGAATGTTTTTTTGAGACAGTCTTACTCTGTCACCCGGGCTAGAGTGCCGTGGCATCAGCCTAGCTCACAGCAATGGCATCAGCCTAGCTCACAGCAGCCTCCAATTCCTGGGCTCAAGCGATCCTCCTGCCTCAGCCTCCCGAGTAGCTGGGACTATACAAGCATGCACCATCATGCCCTGCTAATTTTTTCTGTATATTTTTAGCTGTCCAATTAACTTTTCTGTTTTCAGTAGAGACAGGGGATCTCACTCTTGCTCAGGCTGGTTTCGAACTCCTGACCTTGAGCGATCCCGCCCGCCTCAGCCTCCCAGAATGCTAGGATTACAAGCGTGAGTCACCGTGCCGGCCCACCTGAGTGTGATTTAGCATCTTAAGCTGCCCATAGCTACCTTGTTCTGCAAGCTTCACTTGTAGCACATTTGTGAGGTTGTGATTAACCAATCAGGTGAGTTCTTCTAGTTTCCCTCCGCCCAGTTTGTAACTTCTTTAAACTAAGGTCACCTGAAGCATGCACCTACCCCCACCAGCCACCCGGGTTCCGGCTCAAATGGGCTCATCTAACACAATCAAGGACTGGCCCTGCCTCCCCGCCACTTCCAGAGGAATGCTTGCTTTTGTTCCCTTAGCTGCCTGTCCACGCAGCAAGCCTCCCGGCTATGACGCCCCCGTTTCAAGTGGCTGCAACCTGGCTCAGAGCCCGGGCCACCGCATGCCATCAACCAGCATGAAAGCAAGCGACAGGCCCGGGCTGTCAGCTTCAAGACTTTTCAAAGACAAGATTTTGTGAAGTTTCTAAAGTTGTTTTGCAATACCTTTATTTGAAGGCTTTGGCAACTGCCTTTCACCGAGCATTTGGAGAAGGGAGAGGCGGACGGGAGGATGGAAGCTCGGCTCACTCGTCTGGCTCCATCAGCAAACGCTTGCTGGGACCCTTTTTCTGTTCCTTTAATTCAGATGACATATTTGAAGCTGAAAGCACTGTCACAGGAAAAGCGTTTCCCTTTGCACCTCCCACACAGATCTTGGCGGTGGGGCCGTTTGGGGTCCACGTGCCGAAGTTTGACCGGGCAGGAACATCTAGTTTTTTTACAGCTCTAAAAAAAAAAAAAAAAAAAATTAAAGCGAGAAGTACATGCAGAAAATGAGCACTTGGCAATCACCTGCCGTTTTTCTAGTCCATTCCTATACTTACACTAAACAGACTAAGCATGGGCGGGTACTGCTGTCTACACGTCTACCCAACAATGCCAGTTAGGGGTGGCAGGTGCTTAACCGGGCTGCAGTGGTGCTAAGATTACACTGGGTTCCATTCTAGGTTGGGAAGTTTCTTTGGAAACTTCCTCTAAGAGGAAGGGGCAGGGAAGGGTGAACTCAACAATGAAAGCCAAGAGCAGAGCGATTAACCCACCCTACATCTTAGGAACATGTTCTGTCCTGAGCTAAGTGATTCTAAGTGGCTTTCCATACTTGGTTTCTCCCCACCACCCTAGGGTGTTAATGCTGCCAATATCCAGCTTAAGTCCACCAGCGAGGCTGCCTCAACTAGCAATTCAGGCTCATTAGCTGTGTGCCCAGGTGCAGTTAGTTCTTTCCTCTTAAACATTATCTAAGCCCCTTAAGCCCAGGGCTAATAGCAAGCAAGTGCTTAGTTAATAGCAAGCAAGTGCTTAGTTAATAGCAAGCAAGTGCTTAGTTAATAGCAAGCAAGCAGTATGTTGCAAGTTAACCCCCATGAAGCTAGGCAACTTAGATTTATCTTAAAGCACCCCCTTTCCTGAGGTTCTCGGGCAAGACAACTTCAGAGCCCTGTAAAAGCATGCTAAATACTCCGAGTATACACTTCATAAAAAAAGCATTTGGGTAAAACAGTCAACCTCTACCCTCGTCAATAGAAAACGCATTTTTCAGTTTGCTTCCTCTTATTTTTTTTTTTTTGAGACAGAGTCTCACTTTGTTGCCCAGGCTAGAGTGAGTGCCGTGGCGTCAGCCTAGCTCACAGCAACCTCCAACTCCTGGGCTCAAGCGATCCTTCTGTCTCAGCCTCCCAAGTAGCTGGGACTACAGGCATGCGCCACCATGCCCGGCTAATTTTTTCTATATATATTAGTTGGCCAATTAGTTTCTTTCTATTTATAGTAGAGACGGGGTCTCGCTCTTGCTCAGGCTGGTTTCGAACTCCTGACCTTGAGTGATCCTCCTGCCTCGGCCTCCCAGAGAGCTAGGATTACAGGCGTGAGCCACCGCACCCGGCCTTGCTTCCTCTTATATTAGACTCTAGGTAGCAGGCAAGGCAAGCTGTCTTCCATGTTGCAAAGTAAGGTAACAATTTCCTTCTGCCCTTGCAAATCTTGCTCACTGTTAACCTCTCTTGAGACTAACACCGAGGCCCCTATGTTCTAGTTGACTGTTATTCCTAACAACTCCTAGCAAAAAAAAAAAAAAAAACCAAAAAAAAAATCAAAACCTAACGTCTGGGAATCTGGCCTATAATCCTAGCACTCTGGGAGGCCGAGGTGAGAGGACTGCTCAAGGTTAGGAGTTCGAAACCAGCAATAGCAAGACCCCGTCTCTACTATAAATAGAATAGAAATTAATTGGCCAATTAAAAACAGATTAAAAAGTTAGGCGGGCATGGTGGCACGTGCCTGTAGTCCCAGCTACTCGGGAGGCTGAGGCAGGAGGATGGCTTGAGCCCAGGAGTTGGAGGTTGCTGTGAGCTAGGCTGATGCCACGGCATTCTAGCCCATGCAACACAGTGAGACTGTCTCTAAAAAAAAATCCAAACAAACAAAACACACACACACGCACACACACAAACCCCAGATGTCTGGGAATCCAACCTCTTTTTGGAGATATCTTCAAGAAACTGTACTAGCACCCTTTTACCACCAACCCCAATTCAGACAAAATGAGAAACATTTGATTTACTTGGCAGGTGATGTTCTCCACCCGGTAGGGGTTGTAAGACTGCGGGCACGTTCTGCAGAACTGTTTGAAGTAAACCTGTGATGACAAAGAGGAAAAACTTGAAGCAAAAGCCCCTTTGTCGCTGTCGGCAAGAGGATGCCCGCTGGGTGGCATTGCTCACCTTGTTGGTGCCCTGCACGCACCACACGTAGGCGCTCTCCCAGCGGACGTTGCAGTTCTTGCAGTGGTAGTAGCCGTATTTCTGTTCTAGAAACTGAACGAACGACAGGATGTCAGGATCGAACCAACAGGACACCCCAATCACCGAATCACCCTCCTTTTCAAAAGCTGGGGAAGGAGCCCCTTTACCTTAACTGGCAACTGCATTCCAGATCATCAAGGAAAACAGCGTCAGGTTTGGGTAAACCTCCATACCCCAGCCATTGAGCCAACCCCAGAGTCGAGCAAATGAGCAGAAGACCCCAAAAACGTTTGTACCAATTAAAATTAATTAAAATAGAAATTTAAGGCCGGGCGTGGTGGCTCACACCTGTAATCCTAGCACTCTGGGAGGCCGAGGCGGGCGGATTGCTCCAGGTCAGGAGTTCGAAACCAGCCTGAGCAAGAGCGAGACCCCGTCTCTACTACTATAAATAGAAAGAAATTAATTGGCCAATATATATATAGAAAAAACTAGCCAGGCATGGTGGCGCATGCCTGTAGTCCCAGCTACTCGGGAGGCTGAGGCAGGAGGATCGCTTGAGCCCAGGAGTCTGAGATTACTGTGAGCTAGGCTGATGCCATGGCACTCATTCTAGCCTGGGCAAAGTGAGACACTGTCTCAAAAAAAAAAAAAAAGAAATTTAAAGTTTCTAAATAAATAATAAACTAATAAGATAAATTAAAATTTCTAATTTTAATTCATTTCTATTTTAGATTAACTCGGTTCATAAGGCTGGTTGACAAATGAATAAATTGGTGTTCCTCCCCCCCAAGATTGGCTTTTTTCCTTGCCTAGGGTCCAGGACTCCCTGAAATTTGGAATCCTTCAAGTGCCAGGGAGGTTGGGGGCTTTTCTGAGGATAAATTCTGATCTTGGCGTACACACGTGTGAAGGTTATTAAGCTAAAGGAAAAAAATAAGGCCCTATCATGTAAGATATTTCAAGGCATGGATCCAAGATGGAGTTTTCTGGGCTGCTAGTTAGTGACTACCCAGCAGGTGGCTAGCAGACTAAATTGTGGACAAGCCCTGACTTATAGTGTATGTGAACTAGAGTGGCAGCACGTTGCTTTTAAGTTTCCCTTCTTCCCCCCCAGGGAGAAACTTCTAGCAGCAAGTGTTGAACGCAGGCCTTTAGAATCAGCGGGAACTGGGGTGGGGGGGGCACCCAGCACGATTTCACAGGTGAGCAAACTGAATGGCATCCAGAAAGGTCGATCCCACAGCCCAGGTGTGGCCAAGCTGCCAGTCCCCAGCCTCTTGAGTCACTCAGTGTCGCCCCTGTGACCACCAACCCCCCAACAAAAGCCACTGGGGGCCCGTGATGGCCGTGGAAGAGGCCACAAAGGACTACCGGGGTCACCCCTACGCCCCGGTGGGTCCCAGGTGCTCTGTGCGGGCCCTAACCTTCAGGGACCGGCACCAGGAGCAGCCCCACGCGCGGTCCCAGCGCGGGGTGTCCGCGTGGGGACGCTGTAAGCGGCCAGGCAAATGCCCAAGGGCGCCCCAGCCTCCCAGCGGACTGTCAGCTTGGTAAACTGAGGCAAAAAAAAACCAAAAAAACTCGGGGTAGAGGTGATTAGGACTGCAACAGTGGGGCTGATAAGGGTTTTGCCACTCTCAGTGGGGAGCCGGGAGAGGGGTCGCTGGGGTCGCCTCCGGACGTCCCGCCGCGTCCAGGACCGGACCAGGCGCCGGGGGTTTTTGCAGGACAGCTGTGTGTGCAGGGCGACACGTGCAGGGCGACGTGGCCAACCCGCGGAGTGACTCAGGGCCCCGCAAGGTGACCGCGCTGCAGGGGGGAGAAGACACCTGTCGTGGCCAGGTGCGGCGGACACGCGCACCGATGCCCGCGCTCGGTGAGACGCGTGTCCCGACCACCGGGGTGGGGGTGGGGAGGGCCGGGCGCCACCAGGAAGACCGCGGTCCCCAGGTGTCCCTGCCCGGCCTCACCTGGAACCGCAGGCGCTCCTTGTCCTGCTCGGGGCTCCTGGGCGACGGCGTGTCTCCCGCGGCGGCCGTCTCCCGTCCGTCCCCGCCGTCGACCCCGGCGTCCTGCGCCCTCCCCGGGCTCCGCGGCGCCTCTCCGGCCTCGGCCTCCCGCACGGCCTCGCCGTCGCCGTCGTCGCCGTCCTCCGCCCCCGGCCTCCCGGGCGGCGCCTTCCTGGCCGACGCGGGTCCCTCCGCGGGTGGCCCTGGCGCCGCGGCCTGGGCGTCCTCGGGCGCGGCGGGCGCGCGCGGGCGGCGGGCGCGGGCGGGTGCCCGGCGGCCGGGAGGCGCCCTCGGCGGCGCCGCGACGCCCGGCCTGCGCGGCAGCGTGCGGCGGCCCAGCGAGCACTGCACGGCCGCGTCCGCGCGCGGGCTCACCTGCACCGCCGCGTCGCGCCCGGCCGGCCTGCGCGCGCCCGCGCCCACCTGCGACAGCAGGGCCACCAGCTGCGCCCGCTGGAGGCTGTCGAGGAGCTTGGCGGCCGCCTGCGGCCCGAAGCCCGCGAAGGGCGGCGCGGCGGGGGGTGGCCCCGGGCCTCGGCGCCCTTGGCCGTGGCCTTGGCGGGCGGCGGGCAGGGCGCGACGCGGGCGCAGGTGGCCGGCCAGCGCCGCGGGCCCGGGACAGCCATCGGCGGGCGCCCGCCCCGCCGCGCCCGCTAAATAGCCGCGCGCCCGGGCGGGGGCGGGACCGGCCCTCCCTCCGCGCCCGGTGTCCCCGCGCCCGCGTCCCCCCGCCCCGCGTCCCCGCTCAGCCCGGACACACCCCGCTCCGCGCCCGGGGACCCGCGCACACGCCCTTGGGGGGTCCGGGAAGACGGGCTTTTGGGGTGTTTTTTGGAGATGAAGGTGCCGATGTGCAAGTGCGCCCAGGAGGGTTCCAGAGAGAGAGGATTACGCCCCATTAGCCGCCCGCCAGGTGATGCCCATGCCGCCCGCGATTGTCCCCAGGTGGCTGGGACGCGCGCCGGGCGGGCTAGCTCCGGCTATGGAGCGGAAATGCCAAGGTTTGGGGACGCTTTTGGGGTCCCCGTCCTGTGATCTCAGACGATGTCGTTTATATCCCAGAGCTGCTCAGAGACGCCCACCCACCAGGCTTCTGGGCGTCCGCGTCTACGCTGACCTGACCGTGTTCTCCCCTGGACCCTCCCACCCGCCACCCGCTTAGCTCCATTCCTGGGTGGGCATTGCTTCTACCCAGTGTCCTCGCCTTGGACCTGTTCTTTACTGTCTGTGGACTAAAATTAAAAAAAAAAAAAATGTCCTCACCAAACCACCTCTCCAAATGCATAAAAGACCAATTGAAAAGAAAATGCCTCCCCCGCTACACAACCTTTGTTGGTCGTTCATGGCCAATAACTAGATAATCAGACCAGGTCATCAAAGACGTTGATTTATCTGTGGTTTGATACTGGCTTGACAATAAAATACTATATATAATATACAGAGAGATGTCATTTGTTTAATTGACCTGTTTTGGAATTTTTCTGAATGCAGGTCAAAATGCGACATGATCGGATATTTATCAGTTGAACAAGCATACTTTTTTTTTTTTTTTTTCAACAATTACACGAAACTCCAATTAGGCCTTACAAAGATAGTTGTTTTTTGTTTTTTTTTTTTTTACTCGTTAAGACAGTGCACCCAAATTCTACATTTCCAGGGCCCTGTTTTCTAATAGTTTCTACGGTCAAAGCAGTCATAGAAACTGGTGATGGTAAAAAATAAATAAATAGATAGATAGATAGATAAATAAATAAATAACAATTTAAAAAGCACTTTTAACCAGTTCAGGCAACACTCGAGCCAGTCCCAGGTGCAACTCGTCACAACATGGCTTTGCAATTTGTGGAAGTGCTTGGCGACTGAGCCGGTGAGCCTGAAAATGAGCAGGGCGGAAGGGGCTGCCTGGGTGATCATGGGGGGCCAGCTGTCACCCTCGACCTCCTGAGCCCCGTGTAACCACCACGGGGGGGGGGCCACAAAACACGGAGGAACATCTCAGCAAGACGGAAGCTCCCGGGCACATCTGGGTGCTCAGAGAGCGGTCTGGGCGGTTTCCATCATTATTAAGTTGCCCGCTGGCACCGTGCCGTAGGAGGTGTCCGCCACCTCCTCTTCTTTGAGTTTCTTGTAAGAAATGTCTGTGTCTTCGTCCGCATTTGCCAGAGGGTCTTGCTTGCGCGGGCTTTCGTTTCCACACATTTTGTAGATGAGGACGAAGAGGCCGGCCTCCGCAGACTGGAACAGGGCGTAGAGCAAGGGGAACATGTACATGCTCCCGACGAGCTGCGGGGGGAAGGCCAGCTTCAGGATGGCCGTGCAGAGCTGCACGTTCTGGCTCCCCGTCTCCAGGCACACGGTCCTCTTGCAGTTGGCCGGGAGGCGGAACAGAGTGGCCAGGCCATAGCCCGAGGCGTAGCCTGCCAGAGGCATGAAAATCGCCACCATGTACACGGTGGCGGGGATGGTGGCCAGCAGCTCGGGCCCTAACATCGTGCCGGTCAGGATGAAAAGCACTACCAGCGTTACCAGCAGAGACCACAGGGAACCCTGTAATGGAAACATGCATTATTGTTTGCATTTTTCAGACACCCTGTGTTTGCTCCAGCAGCCCCAAGACGGGGGATAAATCGTTGCAACTTCACTTCTTGGCCGGGGAGAGGTGGCTCACCCACGCCTGTCATCCCAGCACTCTGGGAGGCCGAGGCGGGAGGATCGCTCAAAGGTCAGGAGTTCGAGACCAGCCTGAGCAAGAGCGAGACCCTGTCTCTACTATAAATAGAAAGAAATTAATTGGCCAACTAAAAATATATGGAAAAAATGAGCCGGGCATGGTGGCGCATGCCTGTAGTCCCAGCTACTTGACATGCCTGTGGTCCCAGCTACTCGGGAGCTGAGGCAGGAGGATCGCTTTGAGCCAGGGTTGGAGTTGCTGTGAGCTAGGCGACGCATCACGGCACCTGTAGCCGGCAACAGAGTGACACTCTCAAAAATAAAAATAAAAAACAAAAAAAACCTAATCCTAACCCTGGGGGATTTCCATAAATAAATGAGAAGACCAGAAAGAAGCGAGGAGGCAAGAGCACCTGCTCTTTTCACGTGGACAATAACCGGTCAGCAGGACTGAGGACAAGCTCTGCGGGTCCCAGGAGCCCTCGCGGTCTGCAGGTTTGGTGTGATCCAGATGATGTCATTACAGTCCCACGCCCAGCCTCTTCTGTTTCAGTCTTTGCCCTCACTGCACAAAATCGGCCTCTCCGAGTAACTCTTCCCAAACAACCCTGCAGAGCTGGCTGCAGGGGCTTGCGTCTGCCTCCTAGCCACTGCTTCTTTAATTCGAATGTGGATTTAATGCTCATTAGCCACAGGGGGAGTTCGAGGCACGGAGACAGAGGTGCACGTTGGGCTCCCAGCTCATGCACTGCCGTTCTTGTGTTCTGGCCTAATCTTACCGGCTGGTAGAGGCCTCAGATATGCCTGGATTATACTCACGTGGCATTTGCGTGGCATGGTTCATTGTATACTGAATATCTTTCTTTTTTCTTATTATTTTGAGAGCAGAGTCCACTAATGTCCCAGGCTAGAGTGAGTGCCGATGGCATCAGCCTAGCTCACAGCAACCTCCAACCTCCTGGGCTCAAAGCAATCCTCCTGCCTTACACTCCCGAGTAGTACTGGACTCCACAGGCATGCAGCCACATGCCCGGCTAATTTTTTCTATATTTTTTATTGCCAATTAATTTCTCTCTCTAGTTTCTAGTAGAGACGAGGGTCTCCGCTCTTGCTCAGTGCTGGTCTCGAAGCTCCTGACTCCGAGCGATCCTCCCACCTCGGCCTCCAGAGTGCTAGGATGACAGCTGGGTGAGCCCACCACGCCCGCTTGAATAATCTTTCTTTTTACATACGATAAGCTGAAAAGGAAAACTTGACAAATTTTTTGCCTCCTAAAACCCCACCTTCCTTCTAAAGCTCTCTAAATGTTAATTTCATCATGTTTGGGGGGGTCTAGGATTTGGAAAAGTGTAAGGGTAACTTATTTTCCTGATGTGTAGGAGGCCCTGCCCTCAAGGATTCTTAGTCGCAGTGGTAGAAGTTATGAGCTTCTTGTGATGAAGAGATACTAATATAATAATTATATTTCTATTCTATTAATATAAATATGCTGTGGCATTCCAGTCTCATTTTTGCTATCTCCCTGTCCTTTGCATGAGATCTGGGGGACCGGGAAAGACAGAGCTGGGCTTCAGGCCACCTTGGCAGTGGAAAGTCCTCTGTGGTCCAGAAACAGGTAGGGACTGTTCCAGGAGAATTCGCTCCTATCTGGCACCACCTGCGAGTCATCCATAAGCCCAAGACTTTGAAACCCTTGGCCGGGCCCGCAGCGGATCACGCCCTGCAATCCTACCTCTCTGGGAGCCCGATGTGGGCCCGGATCGCCTCGAGTCAGGAAAGTTCGACAACCAGCCTGAGCAAGAGCGAGAGCCCCCGTCCCCTCTATCTATAAAACAGAAAGAAATAATTGACAACCTAAAAATATATATTACAAAAAATTAAGCGGCATTCCCGGTGGCGCTGCCATGTCTCCCCAAGCTACTCGGGGAGGCTGAGGCGAGGAGGATTGCTTGAGCCCAGGAGTTGGAGGTTGCTGTGACCGAGGCTGACGCACAAGCACTCACTTAGCCCTGGGCCCCCAACAAAGCCGAGACTCTGTCTCCAAAAAAAGAAAAAAAAAAGGACTTCAGGCCTGATTTCAAGCCCTTCACTCCCAGTCAACTCCCTGTGTCGCTCTTATGGTCACCTGCAGAGAGCTGCGCGCCACCTGGGTTGGGAAGCCAAGTCTTTCCCTGCTACCGATCAGTCCAGTGCCCGTCTTCCAGTTGTTGAGCTCCCGTTCCTCTGAGAAACCCCTGACGTTTGATGTGTTCGCGGATGAGCGATGTTGAAGCAGGGAATCTCAGCAGCTCATTATTTCTCCTTCCGTCCCCCTTTAATCCTATAGCCAGGACTTTAGTTGCCGCCGATCACAAAATGCGGTGCCCGCCGCTGCAACATCCTGCCCCCACCGTCCTTGCCGATAACCTTGCTAAACACTCATTTTTTTCGTGAAGACTTTTCCTCAGCCTGAGCCCTGCAATCCGGCCTCCTGGCAACGTCAGTCCTCTGCTGTAGCGGTCACAGGGCGTCGCAGGCAATTCTTTGCGAGTCGCAAAGCCCAGGGAAGCGTGCCACGCTGCCCAGGCCAGTCCGCTGGTAACAAGTTCGCGCACTCCTGGATGCTCAGGTTGGTCAGACCTATTCGAACCTTTGCATGGCTACAGCCCGTGCATATAGACACACGCCTTTTATTATTATTTTTATTTATTTATTTCTGCCTTTCCGTGTCTGGGTGTCCAGACTGCATTAGCATAAGAGGCGGAAGCCCCAGGGGGGAACCGTGCCCTGGCAGCGGCCAGCTGGCTTTCGCTGCTCTCGCACCTTCGCACCGCTTTGTCCGCGCCCCTGCTACACTCCGCAGACCCCCCCACTGGCCGGCGATTGCAGGAGGGAGGGGGGGGCCACCGGCCGGCCGGGCGGGGCCGCGACAGGGCTGGGCGGGCCGGGCCCCTGCGCGCCTGCCAACGTGCCAGCCCCTGCGGCTCCGGAGCGAGCCGCGGACCGACAGGAGCGCGGTGTAGACGCGTGACCCGAACGGAGCGCGGTGTAGAACGCCGTGGACCCGACCGGACGCGCGGTGTAGACGCGTGGCGCGACGGAGCGCGGTGTAGACGCGCGGACCCGACGGAGCGCGGTGTAGACGCGTGACCGACGGACGCGTGTAAAGACGCGCGCGGCTTGGGGGACCGCGCGCTGCAGGCGGGGGCCGAGCCGGCGAACAGCGCCATGGACGGCGCCGGGCCAACGCGACCCTGCCCGGCAACGGCACCTGTCCGCCGCCCGAAGGCCCCGCCCGGCCCGGGCCGCTCCGTCTCAGCCGGGTCCGCGGCGGCCGTGGCGCCCGCCTTCCCTGGGCCGTCCGCGCTGAGCCGCGGGCTGGACGGCGCGGCGGGGCGGCGGGCCTGTGCGCGGGCATGCTCGCCTGGGCTGCGCCTGGCGCGGCGCGCTTCGGGCGCACCGTGCGGCGGCCGCTGGGCGCGCGCTCGCGGCGCTCCGCCAGTCGCGTCCTGCCTGCTCGCCTTCGCGCTGGCGCGGCCCTGCCGCCTGACGCGCGCCGCCGCGCTCGCCGTGCCTGCGCGTGCGGCTGTCTGCCGCGGCGCAACCTGGCAAACCTGGCCTGGCGCTGCTGCGTGACGGCGCTGAAACCTCCAGGTGCGCGCCGGCGGGCCGGACCCCAGGGGACGGGCGGGCGGGTGGCCGGGGCCAGGCAGAGGGAAGGGGGGACGGGCGGCCGGGTGGCAACGGGGCACGGCAGAGGGGGAGGGAGGGGGACCGGGCGGTGGCACGGGGCACGCAGAGGGGAAGGGGGGAGGGGGAGCGGGCCGGTGCACCGGGGCACGCCAGAGGGGAAGGGGAGGTGGGGGACCGGGCGTGGCACAGGGCACGCAGAGGGGGAGGGGAGAGGGGATGGACGGGTGGCACGGCGCAGAGGGGAAGGGAAGGTGGACGGCGGTGGCACAGGGCACGCAGAGGGGGAGGGAGAGGGGGACAGCGGTGGGCAGGAGGCAGCAGAGGAAGGGAGTGAGGGGAACGGGCAGGGTAGCACAGGGCCCACGCAGAGGGGGAGGGGAGAGGGGATGACGGGTGGCACGAGGGGCCCATGCAGAGGGAAGGGGAGGTGGGAACGGGGGTGGCACAAGGCACGCAGAGGGGGAGGGGATGAGGGGATGGACGGTGCACGGGCATGCAGAGGGGAGGGGAGTGGGGACGGGCGGTGGCACAGGCACGCAGAGGGGGAGGGGAAGGGAGACGGGTGCACGGGC